CATCTATGTCAAGTATGTCCCACAATTTGACAAATCTTTGTACCATCCCTCACTGTTGTTAGATTCCACAATTCATCACTTCAATGTCCTCTCCCTCCTCCCTCATACAGATATGCATACACTTAAGGTTTGTTTGGTAAAACTATTGAAAGGTCAAAAATTATTTTTAAAATTAAGAAGCTATTTTTAAATACCTTTACGTAATAAATTATTTTGTCTGATTAAAAGAGATTTTAGAGAAAGTTGGTCTAAAGCAACTGCTCGAGAAGCTTTTGGAATAAAAAAAAAAGTTGTGAGAAACGAATCCTCAATATACGTACATTTGAGAGCCAATACTAGGAAACATTACATGGAGCCTCCAACAAGTTGGCTACCAATCTTTCATTATGGAGGCAAAATCAAATTCCGAATAACTAAACCGTTTCAAATCTAATTTAAATTATATGGTAAATCTTCATCAAAATATATAATTTACATGCATCTGTATGAGGAAGCTTTTTATTCGAGGGGGTGCTTGATCGGCCATCAGAATAAGAAGGGCCTTTCGAGTTAGGAAACGAAACTAAGTTTTATAAAATTAACAATTCGCATCACATAGTGTGATGCTTTATCATTCATTTAGACAATTTAAGTAATAGAAGACTAATTATACAACTATCATGAAAAGTTAACAACCAAATTGCTATTAGCAATGATGTAATTTTATCGAATAGTAATTCATGTGGTTTCATTTACCAAGAAAAAGTGTTTGTTTTTCTTGGAAGGAGAAAATTTGAGATTGACTTTGAAAGCTAACAAACAAACAAGCATCATAAATGGTCTGTTTGGGCCAGATTTTAATCTGATTTTAATTTAAGTCAAAATCAAACAATTAATATCAACCACATTTTTATGGGTCTTACATATTTTCAACCACAGATTGCAAAAACTTCTATCACAATCCACTTAAAATCTGATTTTAATCTACATCAAACACCCTCAAAAATTGGTTTTTGGGGAATTAATTTTATTATATTATAATTGCATCCAACTTTTAGCTGCCTTTATTTCATTGTAAAATACCAATAAGGGGCCTTTTCTCATCATTTTCCTTTCTAGTGATATAGCATTAAAATTGGACAATTATGATATGTTCCTATAATGGACCCTAGTCTTACATTATGAGATGGATAATGTTGGTTGAACAGGGCCACGTAGGCACTGTTCATGTAGGGCGACCCTTATGAGATTGGGACCTGTGGCAATTCCAACGGTAGGAAACCCCCTTTGCTTCTAATTTTGATGACATGTCATTCATGCTTTTTGTTCTTTTTTGGCGAGTTAGGATTTTAAATTTATTGTGTTACTTTCTTTTTTGTTATCAAATAAAATGCTACCTCAAAATATATCCACCAATATCTTGTTTTCTAATGGATATAACGTTTCTTCATGGTGTGCTAGCGTGAAGTCGATTTGCAAAAGTTCGATCTATATATAATACAGTTAGTATAATATAAAAAAGTGAGTTTAAATCAGTAATAGATTTAAATGTTTGACTTAAGAGTGGAACTAATGGTCGTTTGATATGACTTTTGAGAAGTGGATTTTTGAGATTTAAAAGCTATTTTTAAATATATTTGACTAATTTTATGAAAACGTTTCTTTTAGTTAGAAGAATTTTCAGAGAAAGTCCACTTTCGAAATAAGAAGCCCTTTTAGAAATTATTTTCCAAACAAAAATAAGAAGCTGATCTACAAAAAGTTATAACAAACGAGTCCTAAAAATACGAAAATTAACATCGTTGTGGTATTTATGATATTATTTAACGTGCCAAAATATTTTTTTAAAATTTTTTGGTGAGAAATTTGAAGGGAGTAATCATAATATTGGAAATTGAAATAATCTTCAATCAATCATGTGCACAATCTTAATAATTTGCTAACAAATTTCACCAAAATACAAATAAAGTTATAAAGTGACCATTATTTATGTAGTGGAAGGGGCCACGAGGAAAAGCAAGAGTCTCACAAGTTGTGTATGGTGCAGGATGTGTTTTGTTTGGTTAAAACATTAGGGCCTATGTACGAAACCTCACAGGACATCGTCGAGAATAACGAATCAAGAACATTAATTGTTGGGACATCATCGAGAAATAACGAACTAAGAACATCAATTATTTGGCCAGTAGATTGAACAATATTGAACGTTATTGTACTATTACAATTATTTTCAGTATTGCACATCGAAGCATGAGACATTTTAAAACATATAGGTTGTACCAAACATCTTGTGTGGCTCCAAAATCTCACAAACCAAATAAGAACTCATATGCTCTATCAAGACAAGACATCTAATTCAAGTGAGTTAATAATGTGGCCGACCTCATTTTTCAAGACAAAGATTTTAATTCAAGCTAATTAATTAAAATTTACTTTTTATACTTTAATTTCTTGTTTTCTAATACGCCTTTATTTATTGTGTCTTTTTATCAATAAATATGAACCACAAGTTATAAAATATAAGAAAAAATGGTTTCGAATAGATTAAGGGCCTGTTTGGTAGGAATTCTTATCATCTACAGTAAATCAATTCTCATTTTCAACCACACATTTTTCAATAAAATAATATTTTTTATCACATCAATTCTTTCCCTAAAAAATCCCTACCAAACAAGCACCAAGTTATTTGTACATTATTTTCTGCGGTATCAAAATCGAGATCACTGAGAGCGTAGGGCCCTTACTTTAAGGTAACATCCAAATTACAAAAAAGTACGATCAATCTCACTCAATCAAATGGAAACCACAAATTTCGACAGGGGTAGTTTCGTCTTTGCGTTGAATGGTTATTTTCATGTTCAAAGTCCAAACCACGCGCACTGTACATTCTGTCTGTAGACTGTAGATAGTGCAATATCTTCTTCCCATTTGACACGCGCCAAATACACAGGCACACATTCGCACGTGTCGCCATATATGCGTCAGCATAGCCCATAAAAATCACCACTGCACGTGCGACACAGTTTCTCACGTGCCTAACATTGACTCAAAGGTCAAAATAATTAATATAGCGCTCATACGTTAACCTTACTCTACACTAATTTTACACTAAAGTCAAATTAATATTAATTAATTGAGAATTTAAATTATTGCCCTCTACAGTCCATAACATTAACTCATTCTTAAAGAAAAATTGCACCATTAGTCTCCAACCTATTACAATAATAGCAAATTAATCCCTAGTCGATCATCATGGTTGCATAAGCCACCATGGATGATCAATATTGACAAACTGTCTTACGACCCTTGTGAAAACAAGTTTCATTTCAGATTATTAAGCACCATCTTCGTAAAATTTGACATGCAAAAGACATGTATATGTAACATAAATTCTAATAGTTTTCATCCTATGTGCAATCGTAATCACACTATTTTTTTTCTTTTTAAGACAATAAAATAAAAATAATCATAAAACTTATCACGTTTGAAGACAAGGCTTTTCACTCCTCGCTTTTTCATCTGGCATCTCTTGTTATGTTGGATGTTGATTCTAATCCAAGTCTTGAGAAAAACAATGAGATCGGTTATATTTGTCTCATTGCCTTGTCAAATAATTAATTCATTCCGCGAGATTATCCCAATTCAATTGCTAAATATATGAGACGGCCAATTTCGTATAGCAATTTCTCCTTTTTAGAGAAGAGTGCATGTCATCATTGAGCATTGATCCAAAAATAAGCAATCATTTTGACTAAAACCTTCAAAATAACCACTTTTAGTACAACGAATAGCTACGTAACAATACTTAAATGTAGGGGTGTGCATGTTTTCTAAACAGTTGAAATCGAACCAGAACTAGATAGAATTAATCGATCTGACTTTGATTCCTCTACTAAATGAATTAGTTCGGACCCTGCATCGAGAACTGATAGGTTCTTCTCAGGTTCTTTGTCCTACCTTGAAAACCAATAATGAATTTAGTTCTCCTGAATTTTTATTTTGTTGGTGCATTGCAACAAGATGCACCAAATATTCGAAGAAAACCTAATGGGTAATCAAAATCTAATCTAAATAATTTTATAAGTGCTTTACAAATTCATAGGTTTAATGCAACTCTAATAGAAAAAAAAAATTTATAATTTTCGTTAAATTTTTCGTAAGAACTCAAATTTCTTATTATTTCCAAAGTGGCAAACAATCAAGACTTATGATCTTCTCCGTGAGGATCACTAAAGATAACCAAGTTATAAACACTAAATGTATTTTTGAATTATTTATTGTTTTATGAGTTTTCTCGAGAATTAGATTTTGATCCGGATTTTATATCTGATGAGGTTTAATAGTTCATCATTTTTTCGCCTTTATCAGTTTATCTTGAGCACTTGAGTTGAATTTTTGTTTGTTTCCTTGTTTAAATTGATTTTTTATTATTAGATTACGAGAATGACAAGTGATTTCATTTTTTATTATTATCTATATTCAATCGGTTGGTGCAGTTCCGATTTGATTTTATATTTGAATATGGAACCAAGAACTAGACCGAGCCTAATCCTACTTAAATGAAAAGTTAAGCCTAACCAATTTGTTATTGATACAATAAGTTTGGGAACAATAGTGCAACTTCTATTCCTTCTACCCATCCATCGCAATTCTAAAACCATTAATACACACAGAGGCCATATTAATTCGTATTTCTATCTTCTCCACTTTATCTGTATGTACGGAAACCCTAATTTCAGTAAGTCAATTAAGACTGCTTTACCCCATCTTTCTTTGGGAAAACTCTATTTAATCTTTCTTGGCCATAGGCTTTGTCCAACTCTTTTGAGTGTAAAAATTTGACTTTGCTGATTACACCATCGATTCCTTTTTAATCTTTTTAAACAGTTTGTTCATCCATATTTCGTATCTGATTCCTGATCATATACATTGTTTTCTAACCCATTTTCCAAGACTCCTATTTGGAATCTCATTCAACTTTCTGTACAATTCTATATATCGTGCATGAAATCCTCAACAAAATGTTAGATTTCCCCAGAAATTCCGACGAAAGTTCAATGAGTAGTGAAACAGCCACCAGTTTTAGCCGTTTATCTTTCGACCTTCCCACAACCTCGCCGGAGCAGCCGCTAACGCTGAAGCCCCACCGCTCATCGGATTCTTCATTCCAAGCCATCCGCTCAAAGACAGGGCTGAGCTTCAGGGACTTCAGCTTGGTACACCAGATCGGCAGCGGAGATATCGGCAGAGTCTACCTCTGCCGCCTCCGCGATGCGGCGGAGGTAGACCGTCTTTACGCCATGAAAGTAGTGGACAATGAGGTGCTGGCATTAAAGAAGAAAACACAGAGAGCTGAGATTGAAAGAAAAATCTTGAGACTTTTGGACCATCCATTCTTGCCTACACTTTACGCTGAATTTGAAGCTTCCCGTTTCTCTTGTGTTGTTATGGAGTATTGTTCTGGAGGCGATTTGCATTCTTTGAGACATAAACAGCCCCACAAACGCTTCTCTCTCACCTCAGCCAGGTAATTTAATTTCAGCACTGAAAAGCTGAGCATTTTTTCTTGAAAGGCTAAACAGAATTAAAGATCATCATTAGAATGTAATTTTCTTGAATAATTTGATTCTCTGCATGCTTTGTTATATTAAGCTAAAAATGACCTTTCATGCAAATTTTCATCCTTAAAAGTTTACCCCTTTTGCTTTTTTTTGAAATCTGAAAGAGACTTTTATCATACCATTTCAGGGCCTTTTTTCTTTTGCAAGAAATCGTAGAATTTTTCTTTGTTTCTTACGAAATCTTTATCTTTGTTTTCTAGGTTTTATGCGGCGGAGGTTTTGGTGGCGCTGGAGTACCTGCACCTTTTGGGTATAGTCTACAGAGACTTGAAGCCGGAAAATGTGTTGGTTAAATCCGACGGTCACATAATGCTCACTGACTTTGATCTCTCCCTTTGCTCTGATGCAATCCCAGCCGTTGAATCTCCTGACTTTTCATCTGACCCCTTATCATCACCGAAAGCAGATTACAGCTCCCGAAAATTGTCACCATTCTCCTGCATCTCCAACCGTCTGTTCCGGTCAAAGAAGATTCAGACACTGTCCGGCAACCGGCTGTTCGTGGCGGAGCCGGTCAGCGCTCGGTCATGTTCCTTCGTTGGGACCCATGAGTACGTGGCACCTGAAGTAGCCTCCGGTAGATCCCATGGTAACTCAGTGGACTGGTGGGCCCTCGGGATCTTTATTTACGAAATGATTTACGGAAGGACTCCATTTGCGGGTGCATCCAATGAGACTACGCTGCGTAACATCATAAAATCGCCCTTAACGTTCCCTACAGGCGGCCCTTCCGGTTTGTCCGAAATGCACGCTCGGAACTTAATTTCCGGGTTGCTCAACAAGGACCCAAGTAAACGACTCGGATCGAAGCGAGGGGCCGCGGATATAAAGTCCCACCCATTTTTCAAAGGCTTGAATTTCGCGTTGATTCGATCCGTCACGCCACCTGGTGTACCCGGAATCCGAACATCCAAAACGTCGTCGTCTCTCGAGAAGAAGGTACTGTTGCAGCAAACGACACCGTTTAATATCTTCTGACCGTGCTTCAGCGACTGCCACGTGGCAGATTTTGGTTAGGAGGATGATTCTAAGATTAGTATTTTAAATTTAAAAAAAATATTGAAGTATGTTTAGAGGGGGAAAAAAAAGAGGAAGAGTACATATTTTGACATAAATTTGAGTTTCGCATTATCATATTTTAAATGCAATTATTATACATATAATTGAGTTGAGCTGCCATTTTAGCCGAATATTACTTAAATGTCACTTAGACTGCTATTCAACTCCAGTGGTGATACATTTTACTTGGAGGCAACGGAGATATATTCCATTCGTATTGGTTCGTCTTTCACACCGATAATTGGTAATTTGCCCAGGAATCTTTCAAAAGTAATATTCGATGGTTCTATCCCGAAAAAAGATAGAAAATATTCAATGGTTCTAATGTGATATTCATAGCTACAAGTGCCTTCCAGCAAGTTTACTAGAATTTCGGATTGAGTTGTCGATTTGGCGTGATTTTTGGTATATTTGATAAGAGAATTAGATAGCTCTGAACGATATTATAGATTTTTTTTTAATGTTTGGTAGTATTGAATAATGTTCTATAATATCATAAAAAGAATTCATTAAATTTTATTTATTATTCTGTTTTATTCGAAGAAAAAGTCATGATTCTAGTAAGTTGCAAGTTACAAGCAAATGTTCGGTTAGGAGACAATGGGAATCAGCATCGTGTAGAAAGTTTGGATTATCAACTACATGTTTTGACCCCAACAATCCCACATCGTTTACCTTTGTTTTCTTCCAATTGATTCTTACTAGAAATTTTCAAATTCTGATCTCCAATAATAAATAATTGTAACCAGCAAGATTAAGTTACCAGAATAAGGTCCTGTTTGTTTTAAATTAAAATCATATTCTAATCTAAGTCAACAATTAATATTAATCACATCTTTCACTGGTCCCACAATTTTTTAACTACACATTTCAAAATTTTTTATTATCATCTACTAAAAATCTAATTTTAATCCACACCAAACACCCACTAAATATTATAATTGATGGATAATATTTACAGTAATGTCGATCACTTATCCGACATCAAAGACATTTGAAATTTCATAGCTGGTGATACTTTTTTCAGTTATAGATCCATTATTTTGTATTAATACTGGAAATGACATTTCTAGCTTATTAGCCTGGATCTAAAAATTGTGTTCATCGATGTAATTAGAATCTACTTTACCAGCGAGTTCGACTGGTGAAATTGGGAACAGAGCTCAAAGTTGGGGCCAATTAAGCAGAAAAACTTGTCTTTTAAAACATTGTCGAAAAAACTGCTAACTCATCAAATTTTATGAAAACCGTTTACCAGTTAACGATTTCGAATCATTGAGTGGATCCCGTGACTTCGAATCGATCCTTGATCCTTTTTTTTTCTCTCTTTTGTGGGTCGATGTTCGGGTCAATTGTTAAAAACAATGGTTGGTCTTCATAACTTTTGAAATTGTACTATTGGTGACCTAATTATTACTCCATTAACAATTTGGTCTGCATAACTTTTTGAGCCCCCAACATGTTACTACAATTGCGCAATAAATCTCTAATAAGTGAAATTGCTCAAACTTTTATTAAATCATCAAATGACTAAATTACCCTTCGTTGGAATTTGGGTTGTATGGGCTAAGCCTATTGGTATTTGACAACACATGGGATGTTCATGTGACCACCTGCCAACCATGCAGCCTCACCAGCTCTGCCCTTTTATGTCCCACAAAAAGCAACAAGCAGCTGGCCCACTACTGCCCAATATCTTTCCCACGTGGCACGTCTCTTATTTTTTTAATTTATTGTATTCTACTTTCTATTTAAAGAAATTCGGAAATGAGGATAGGCTGTGGTCGCAATAAATGACTAAAACTACATCCGGATCAAAATGAAAAGGTGTTAACGTTGTGGTTGTGGTTGTGGTGGCTGAAATGATGGCACGCTTCACTGAATGGAAAGCAAAAAGATTAGGAATTATGGCAATTATGAGTGGTTAGAAGAAAAGAATTGGTAATTATGGACGAACCTAAAAGGAAAAGATATTTTATTTTTCTATTTTATAATTGATATTAAATTTTGATTTATTAAAAAAAATGACATTTTCATTTGGATAATTCATGAGTGAAGAAGATGTAGTTACATTACTTAAGCGTAGATAACAAATTAAACCTTCACACAGAGATGGGTAGACGAAACGACGAATCCTATTTCACATGAATAATGTCATCAATAGTAAGGACTATCGGTAATCGTTCTATGTTGACATAAAGTGACAGTTTATTATTTGATACATTAATATGATAGTTTTTTTTATTGCCTTTTGCATCAAATAACAAACTGTCATATGTATGTAGGGATGGACAAAATCCGACCGAACCTGCCAAAACAGCCCAACCCGATCCGTTTGGGTTGTTTTTTTTGTTGTTTTTACACCGGTTTGGTGGATTGGCTATGTAGGCGGGTTGTGTTGGATTGAGTCGGGTCGAGTTATGAGTTAACTCATGAAAACCGAATAAACCCACCTACTTAAAAAAAAAAATACCTAAAAAGTAAAAGGAACCTAAAATGTGGTGGCTGAAATGATGGCACGCTCACTGAATGGAAAGCAAAAAGATTAGGAATTATGGCAATTATGAGTGGTAGAAGAAAAGAATTGGTAATTATGGACGAACCTAAAAGGAAGAGATATTTTATTTTTCTACTTTATAATTGATATTAAATTTTGATTTATTAAAAAAAAAAACTGAAATTTTCATTTGGATAATTCATGAGTGAAGAAGATGTAGTTACATTACTTACGCGTAGATAACAAATTAAACCTTCACACGGAGGTGGGTAGAGGAAACGACGAATCCTATTTCACATGAATAATGTTATCAATGATAAGGACTATCGGTAATCATTCTATGCTGACATAAAGTCACGATTTGTAATTTGATGCATTAATGTGATTGTTTTTTTATTGCCTTTTGCATCAAATAACAAACTGTCGTATGTATGTAGGGGTGGGCAGAATCCGATCGAAACCGCCAAAACCGCCCAACCCGATTGGTTTTGGTTGATTTTTTTGTTGTTTTTACATGTGTTGGGTGGATTGGCTGTGTAGGTGGGTCGGGTCAGATTATGAGTTAACATATGAAAACCGAATAACACCCCACCCACTTAAAAAAATAAAATAAAATACCTAAAAAGTAAAAGAAACCTACAAAGTATAAGTTGATAGTGTAACTCTAATTAACTTTGTGCATTTTGAGGATGAGTTTACCCTCATTCCCAAAAGAAATGTAGTATAACTTTCCAATGTTATGTTAAATGTACTTTGTTCTTTGTAACCTCGATTAATGAGAATTGAATAAGATAATAGATAATTTTATTTATTTATTATTTAATCTTGTTTATTCGAATTTAGTATAATAGACAATTGGACGACTTTAATTTTTATTGACAAGTTATCACAAACCAACCAACTTAACCTGACCGACCGATACTTGGTTGGGTTGGGTTGGGGTGATTTTCAACCTTTCCACGGGTTGCGTCGAATTTTGGTTGAGGCAAGAAACTGCTCAACCCAAGTCATGCCCACCCCTTAATGTATGTTATATAAGACGACTATAGGTAATTTTCACTATGAATAGTATTATTGGACGATGATGTGAATGAACGACTGGCAGATTAAATTCCATATTTGATAACCATTATTTCAAAACTCATCAATTCTCATACTCATTTTTAACCAGGCATTTATACAATAAAATATTTTGTACATAAATTCAAAAATTTCCTCTATTTTTTAATCATATATTCTCCAAAAAATCATTATTTAAAATTTATTTTTCTCAAAATAATGGCCGTCAAACATAAGCTAAATGACACGAAACAAAATTGAGCAGATAAATAAAATAGCGAGTGAGGTCAACGGACGTTGGTGGAAGAGCCTGCACAGGTTTTGGCTACGATTGCTTAATGAATGAAGAAAAGAACACATTTTGTTTCCTATCGCGAGAAAAATGCAGACATTAGTAAGAATTCCATACCCTCAAAACTTGATCTGGAAAAGGCTGAAGAAATAGGCTCAATGATAAGACATTTTTTCAGGGACTGACTTGGCAATTTTTGATCGACAGTTCCCTTTTTTTTTTTTTTTTCAACTGTCAATGAAAATTTGTCGAGTATATATGTTTTTAAATCCTGTCTTTGACCTTATTTTTCTAGCAGAACTGACTTCAATAAGGTTAGTATATGGAAGGTGAGTCACGGCCTAAGATGGCATAAAATACATTTAAAGGGCCATTATGCAATTGATGTGTTGGAGATCAAACCCCTGATTCTTGACCTTTTACAATAAATTGAAGAATAGTACTGTACTGCCAACAGGTCTTTGGAAGTGTCTGGGGAAGTAATAGAGTTGCAGTGGCCGTCCCCTACCCCCAACCCCACCCCCTACAATTAATGTCTAGAAGGGGTCGGGTCAGATTTTGGATCCCTAACCTGTGTCTTGAGATTGTACATCAGAAAAGGTACAATCATGTGCTGCATATTTGCAGAAAGTTTTACAGAGTCAAAAAGCTGATGCCCTTCCATCGTCATCTTCATTTAACATCATATGGCTAGGCTTCTGTAAGTTGCATCGTACCTACTCGTCCTCTACCAGATACGACGTCGTAGCTAGAAACTACTTCGAGGCCATTGTGGGAGAAAGAGACGTAACATGAAATTTCTTCGAGTTTCTAGAGAAAACCCACAAGAGAATAAGGTTGATTTCAGATAGGATTTTCACTTAAATCTTACGACTTTTGTACATGAGCACTAACAATATTTAATTGAAAATGACACTAACTGAGCTATAAATTTGAATAAAATGTTTTGTGAGGTTCATAACAAATTAAAGTTCAGCAACCATTAGTGAAATTAACCCCAAAAATGAAAAAAAATACAAACACAAAACAATTCGTATGTCTATGTGGACATAAATCCCGACATCAATTCTTGAAGAATGAGGATCAGAGTTTGTGAAATCAAGATGTACCTCAAAACTTTGGTTCGTAAGTAATGCTATTTGCAGCCGCTCTCTACCGTAATCGCCATACGTCACACATATGTAACGATCAGTGACTTGATACATTAATGTGGTAGCTTTTTATCGACTCATACGTCAAATCATTAACCACCACATGTATGCCACGTAAGATGACTACGATAGTGAGAGATTGAAAATAACGTTGTTCTTTGCCCCCATAAAAGGCAGGCATTATTGAGAATCAAAACTAGTAGCAGGTCTTAATTTATTATGATAAAATGGTAAGAAATCAAGTTGGAAGGACTTAAATATTTAGTCAACACTCTTCCAGTCAAATTTTAAATATTTTCTGATGACTAGTACAAGAATTCAATCCCTAACTGAAATTCATGTACCATATCCTTTACCAGAGTGTTTCATTTTTAAACCTCATTCATCAACGTCCTCGAGGCATGTCAGATAGTGTCGAATAGATCAACGCGGAACAATAGACAATAATTTAACTGATTTTCTTTCTTAATACTTTCCAACATTGTTTAGTCCACCCTACCAGTGGACGAAACATACCATTAACGCATTTTCCCATCACAAATAATTTCACTCGAAAGTCGAAACTGCATAACAATTTGCTACTAAAATGGCAAGAAAAAACATAAAGACAAGGCACACTTTATGAACATTAATAGGGTACAGAACAATCCATAAGTGCCACAAGTAGCATGCTCATAAAGAGCGTTATGCTACATGTACATTCTTTTTTTTTACATAATCTTTTACATACACTCACAATAGAGTATGTGGACCATACATTTGAGAGTTTTTTATTCAAGCAGACCCCGCGCACATGTGAGAGGATGGCACATTTTAGGTAACCACCATTCGGTAGAAATCGAATTATCCTTATAAAAATTCCATTTTAAGGAATGGAAAACAGACCATATTTATAATCAACTCCATCACTTTAAGCAGCAACCTATTTCCAAAAGCAGCTAGATCTTCCAAAATCAACAGGCAAAAAGGGTTTTTACATCCACCAACCAAACCTTGCAAAAAAGGAGGAAAAAACTGTGACACTATTTCAAGTCAGTTAATAGATAATGAACAAATTTCTCCACAACTCAAAACCAGATATAATGACTAGTTGCAAGTTAATAATGCAGCTATAATGGAAAGTGCACTTTAAGGACATGCTTAGTACTATAGACAGAATTACAGAACAAAAACGAATCTAAAATTTTGTAAATTATACCATCTGGTTCTATCTAATACTGCGGAGCAAAAATATCAAAAATGTTTCCTCGCCCTTGATCACTTCCAAGCTCAGTCATAGTACAAATTCACCATCAGAATTGTAGTCACTCTGATTAAAACTATGGTCACTATGTTAATCATAATCAGCAATCATGTCCAAGTCTGAATGCTCGGATGAGTAGCAGTCGTCTTCCAAGGAATCATAAGGACGCTTGAAATCTTTGATCTTTTGAGTAATTCTTTTCCCTAGATCCCCACTTAAGATCAACTTTAGAACATTTCCGGATGTCAAAGTGATTCAAGCAGTGGACAACCATCAAGAATGGCTTGCAGGCCCTCATTTGTCTATTATTTCCCAGAAGTCTAAGGTGGTGCAAACCCAGCATGCTATTTGCAATTGCTAGTGCATTTTCATTAGATACGAATTGTGGACGTTTGTCTCCGACTCACCAAGTGTAAATGAACTCAACCTAGGGCAGGAATGACCAATAACTTCAATACCTTCGTTACAATTTTTTATTACGAGAAAGTGCAATTCTTCCAGCAGTGGAAATCCTTTAGCTGCTTCACTCAAGCCATAACCTGATACACCATAGCATCCCCCAAGCCGAAGACACCTAAGCTGACTTGATCTGTTGAACAGGTGAAATTTAGATTGCAAAAGGCAATTGATTTGGAAAAGGCAATTATATTCATTTATCCATGCATGTCAATTAAAACATAATCTTCTAAAAGGGTTCAGCAACTTCATAGGTTCAGCCACAGGTTATCAGGCAACTTCACGCAAACATCACCAAAACTAAAGTATCAAGAAAAAGAAAATGAATAAAATGCAGACCATTCAAACAATCTTTAAAAAGTTAAATTAACTAATAAAATGCACTCACACTCTTTCTCAAATAAGGTGACTAAAACATCAAAAACGATCTGATAGCACGTGTACATGTCAACATATGGATGCCAATATTTACAACATTTGGTCCACAAAAATGCTTTGTCCTTTCTGAGTGAACAAATACCAAACTAAAAATGTTCAGCACATATTAGAAGTACAACGATACTCTTTTTCCACATCCATACAGAAACCTAAAATATGCATAACTATGAAATAGGAGTAAGCCCCTCAAGATTCATACAAAGTACATTTAGGATCAAAATTGAGCAAACCCAACCAAGATGGAATACATAGACATACTGCAGGGTTAGTTCTTGATCAATTGCAACATATAATCTGCCAAATAAATCCTATTTTAATAAATTCATTCAAAACAAAGTTAAAAATTAAATCTTACTAATAATAATATATTATATCTTGTTAGATGCTACTCTTCTTCAATCATTAAAATTTCCCAGCCCAAGACAATTCCAGTTATATACACCGTAACCTACCCTCAAAGCACAAATCACCACGATATGTCACTCTGCGCCTTAAGCCAATAAAACATGGATAATAAGTTCGTAGGAAGTAGAATACAAAGTATGTTTAGTCAGCTTATATTTCCAAACATGCTCTGAGTAGCAGAACAAAAAAAAAAAAAGTACAGCGACCGGAGGGGAAAAAGGGTTATCTTCACTGTCAACAAGCAATGTCAAGAGGAGCATTTGGATCGTTGAACTTAACGGCAAATGTTAAACTTATAAGACCAACAACATAGTCGATTAGACAGTAGTAAATTTAAGCATTTACGTCTTTGGATAACCAAGGAATGTACTATGAAAACCTACCATATCTACATATAAAATGACAAAGTAAAAATTGTCATAGTGGGAAATCAAATGTCATACGTCACCCACGCTTAAGCATTGAAACATATATAATGAATACTTACTTGAATGGTGATGACACCCTCTTTGCCAACCCTTTCCATAGCCTTTGCAATCAGCTCTCCAATTTCTCTTTCTCCATTTACAGAGATTGTCCCAACCTACAAGTGCATAATTAGATTAATAGCCAGTACAAGAGGAACTACCAATATTTTTTATGCGAAAGTTAATCACTTTAATGTAAAGACAATACTTGATTCATCAGCAGCTCACAGGACTAACTAAATTAAACAGTGGTCTCTAACATTTCAATAAATTTCATCTAATTAACACTAAATGATTATATCCTCAAAAGACCATTTTGAAAAATCATTAACACTAATTAAGCAAGTAGGGAACATAAGAATAGACAAACCTGAGCAATTTCCTCCGATGTACTTATCATCCGTGCTCTGCTCTTTAAGTTTGTAACCACAGCATCAACAGCCATGGAAATACCTCGTCTAAGATCCATTGAGTTCATGCCAGCAGCAACTGACTTGCAGCCCTCAGTAAATATTGCACAGGTTAGGACAGTAGCACATGTAGTACCTGCATGTATTTGACAGAACATGTTCAACTGGATCCATAAACTTCATTATGGAGGTCTCATATAATATTTACAGTGAGAACCAGTAATCTACAACTGAATTAAGTTGAAAACTCACCGTCACCAGCAACATCGTTGGTGGCATTTGCAACCTGCTTTACAAGGCTCGCATCAATGTTTTTGACTTTGTCCTTGAATTCAATGCTCTTTGCCACGGTGACACCATCCTTTGTCACTTTAGGGGCACCCCAACTTTGCTCAATCACTACATTACGCCCTTTCACCAATTGAAACGATCAAAACCTTAGTCAGCTACAACATTGACAAACCAGAAGACAAGAACTAAAGTAGAAATGAACAGCAAAAAAATTTACAAGAACAGTTGAAATAACACTTCTTAACAATGCCGTCGCAAATATCATGAATAAAACTATCGAAGTGAAATACAAATGTCCCTATATATTCTTCAAACATCAGTACGAAATTACAGAAGTTCATTAATAAGCTAACTGGAAACATGTATAAATAGTTACCACGGCACAATGATAAAATAAAATTGATCACTGGTGGAATGAGTAGTAGCAGGATCATTGAAGTACCTTTGGGCCCATGGTGACTTTAACTGCCTCAGCGAGTTCTTCAACACCCTTAAGCATCAAAGCCCATGCCTCCACTCCAAATCTAATGTCTTTCACTGCATAGTTCCTGCTCCAACCCAACCTACTTCCAATCTTCATCGAAAAAAAAAAGCACATTATTTGGGCTCATGAAATACGAATTTATTCAGTTCAAAATAAATAAAATAACGAATACTTGGAAGTGAAATCACCTGTTGGCTGCTATTTCTTGGCCGAGGTGAATTCATAAGTCGAAAAAGAGTTTTCCACGTACATTGACTTAACA